AAAAAAAAGATGTGACAAAATCCAGAAGGTAGCAGAGGGGAAGAAAGAACAGGAATTGAGAGGAGGAGAAAACTCCAGAGATGAAGAAGGAATCAAATACAGTAGAGTTTACTGCTTTGTTATAAAACAGTAGTGTAAGATATTAAATTAGGAGTTAAAGGGATTGAGTGAAAACTTAGGAAATCAGAACACAGTTATTTAAGGAGCTCTCTGTTTTGTTGTGTGCGTAAAATAAAAGAAGCCTTGTTTTTCTGAGCAAATATTCAGGAATTATAAGAATTATGAATAAAATAAAATTCTCTATAAAACTATGGTTAATTTTAATTAGACATAGCAGCCTTCATATCTACTAATATATCTACAAGGCATCAACATTTATAATTTCCTGTCTGTCACTCAACAATATGTCATGTTCATTCTTCTAAATTAATAGATTTCCTCTTGAAATACAACAACAGAAAATGCCACACAGACATGCCCACAGGTCAATCTGATCAAGGAAATCCCCCCACTTGAGACTTCCTCAGATAACTCTGGGCTTTGTCAAGTAGACAGTTGTATCTGACAAGTAGGCACCACTCCTTGTCACCTTGAACATAAACATCACCTTAAGCCATAATATTTTCTTTCTTGTCACCAATATCACATATTGATATCATAGTATAAAACACAATACAACTTTAAAAGTCCCACTCTGAAGTTTAACTGTGGGCTTCTAAAAAATACTTACTAAAAAATACTTCCTTACTCCAAAAGAGAAGATATAAAAATAATCACATTAAGCAAAACCAAAGTCTATCAGTATAGATCAAATCCTGTAGCTCTGGGCTGTAGAGATGGCTCAGCGGTTAAGAGCACTGCCTGCTCTTCCAAAGGTCCTGAGTTCAATTCCCAGCAACCACACGGTGGCTCACAACCATCTGTAATGAGATCTGGTGCCCTCTTCTGGCATGCAGGGACACATACAGACAGAATACTGACAATACTGTACACAAAATAAATAAATAAATCTTAAAAAAAAACAACCCAACAAATCCTGTAGTCTATGTTTGACATCAGGGAGTCACCCATGATGTTTTGGCTGCAAAAGGCTTCGGTGTATCCATTTCTTCAGCTTTGCCATCCACAGTACATTTAGTTTACTAAGACGAGCTCTACTTCACACCTGCTGCTTCCCTTGGTAGATTTCACAGAGCTGGCATCCCCAATATCCTGGGGTCTCCACTGCAACTGAGAAAGTACCTTCCACTGGCATCTTTTGGCCTCTCTTAAGGGACTTCAGTGACCTTGCCACCCAGATTCCCTACATGACCCTTTCATGCTTTCAAATCCAGTATAATGTGGGAGACTCTTAAACATTATTTGCCAAATTCTGCTGCCACCTTGATGTACAGTCTGGGCCTCCCATTGGACCATAGCTTCTGTATTCTGACCCTAAGGGAATACTTTCCACAAGAAGTGAGAGCCTCTTAATAAAACACAGCTATGTTTTTCAGCCTCAGCTAATCAGCAACCAGCTTCACAGGAAAGCATAGAGGGCTCAATTCACTAGTATTAATTTATTGTTAATCAGTTAATTTTTCAGCTCTAGTTAAACAGCAACCAGATTCTATATGAACATCCCTAAAAGACTTTTTCTTTCCTCTGAAACTTCACAATGACCTCCATTGTCAGCATTTCTCCCTCACAATCTTCACTACCCTTCCTCCCCCAAATAACATGGTCAGGACCATCACAGCAACACCCCACTTCTAGCACCAATTTCTGTTGTCATTTACTTTCTGTTGCTGTGATAAACATGAAGATCAAAAGCTTTCCTGGTGTAACAGTCCTGCCTATCCTGGAACTCACTCTGTAGACCAGGCTGGCCTTGAACTCACAGAGATACACCTGCCTCTGCATCCCAAGTGCTGGGCTTAAAGGCATGTGCCACCACCGCCCAGCTCACAGCTTGCTTTCTTGTACAGTCCAGGATTATCTCAGAGACTGTGTTGCTCACAGTAGGTTGGACCTTCTCACATCAGTCACAAACCAAAAGACAAGTCCCCAAAGGCATAACTACAGACCAATCTTAAGGAAACAATTCTTCAACTTAGGCTCCTTCTTTCAGGTGTCTCCAGTTTGTGTTGACTAAATACCAACCAGTCTAAGTGACTTCAGTGGTAAGTAAAATAAATGTCCTAAAGGCTTACTCCCTGCTGGCATGGCTGATACTCACTTTCTGCAAAGTATTTGGTGGCAAACATTATTCTTTCAGTGCGCTAGGGTAGCCAAGTTCTAGGACATAATTATGCCTACAATAATGAGAGAGAGGGAAAAACCATAACACCAGCATTTTCCATGTACTAGGGTGGTTAAAACAGTTTCTGAAAAAAAGTTCAAGTAATCATCCATTAAACCACAAACTTGTAGAGCATGGCCTCAGAAATCTGAAAATTGTTTTTTTCCATCCATGTCAATCTCAGCATGATAGTTGTTATTCCTCCTCTATGCCACTGAAGAGTTACTTTTGTTTAAGGAACCAGAAAGATGGCTTAGTCATTAAGAGTACTGGCTGCTCTTGCAGAAGATCAGGGTTCAGTTTCCTAGCACTCACAGAATGGCTTACGGCTGTCTGTAACCCCAGTTTCAGGGGATATGCTGTCCTCTTATGGTCTCTGTGGGCAGTGAATACCCATAGTAAACAGACATATATGCAGGCAACACACACACACACACACAAAATCTTTTTTTAAGAGTTTTTAAAATTTATACTGTTTTAAATAGTTATTCCTTCCTCATCTGGTTATAAAAAGCAAAAACACTGTCAAAATGATGAATTACATAGAAAAGTTAAAATTTTATCATCTAGTAATAAATAATAGTTTTTTTTTTTTTTTTGAGACAGGGCTTTCCTGTGTAACAGTCCTAGCTGCCCTGGAACTAGCTCTTGTAGATCAGGCTGGCCTCAAACTCACAGGGATTCACCTGCTTCTGCCTCCCAAGTGCTGGGATTAAAGGTGTGTGCCACTACCGCCTGGCACTGTTAACAATTTTTATTTATCCCTTTTAATCTGCTCTTCAGAAAGATGTGAAATTATACACATCAAAAGATAATGCATATATTGTTTTGGATATTTCAATTTTCCTCTTGGGATATAGGAGACAACATCACATGCTAGTATTAATGTTACTTTAGTTTCCAGAGAGCTCTGCAGTTCACTGTTCCAAATATATAACTGGGTTGCCTTTTGCTTTTCTATAAAATCCACACTTAGAGTGATTCAAAGTACTACCCCGAGGCACATCTCTGCACAGAAAGATGTTCCTATAACGCATTTCTAGAAGTGACTCGTGGGCAGACAATACTGATTTTTATTAGCTGTCCTCAATATAACCATTTCTGTTTGCCACGAACACAATTCTCCTTCAGCGAAACAACAGGCATGTTCCAAATCAGGCTGTGATTTATGATTACCAAGTATGTGAGATTTATCTGGATTATTTTAAAATGATGATGTTCATCCTACCTCTAATGTTCTGTCTGAACATTTCACACTGCAGATGATAGCATACATGTCAATGAACACTTATCGACTATTACTGACATTGAAAAACTGCTTCCCGCTTCCACCAACCACTGGCATTCCCTACAAACTACAAGTCTACAACCCTGTCTCAAAAACCCAAAAATAAATAAATAAAATTAAAGGCATTTATTCACTATTTTCTTGTTTCCAAATTGATATTCAGATTTCACTATAATTCACTACACAAATTACTTATCTGTATGTTAAATCTTCATTTTCATTATTTCCAAATTTCATATCTATGTGCCTTGATAGCAGTTGACTTTCACGTACTACGTTGAATACTGACTAGGCTTTTCCATTGAGTAACTCAGGCACCAAGAGTCAGCAGTGCTGGGTTTGACCCTGATCTATTTCTAACTTACTTATGGGGAGATGAAGAAATCTGAGGCCAAAGCACAAAGAAGTAATGAGAAGCCTTATTGCTCCCTTGTACATTAAGATATATATATATATAATATACATATATATGTATAACACACACACACATCTAGGTGTGGTGGTGCATACCTTTAATTCCAGGACTGGGAGTCAGAGACTGGTAGATCCTCTGTGAGTTCAAGGCCAGCCTGGTCTACATATTGAGTTCCAGGTCAGCCAGGAATATGTATGTATATGCATAAATATGTGTGTCTTTATGTAAGTATATATGAAGTCAATATTTTTGAGACAGGGTCTCATGTAGCCTAGGCTGGCTCAAACTCCATATGTGGCCTAGAATAATCTGAAAATTCCATGCCTCTACCTCCTAAGTGCTGCGATCATAGGTGTGTACCACTACTAAAAGTTTGTAATTTCTAATGGCATTAATATGTAACCAGTTTTTGTTTCCTTAATACGGAGAAATTTAAGTCAATTTAAATATGACTGGAGACACATGCAGCCTTTAGGTGAGTGAGAACACTACCACTACAAGCTTGACAAATCTCAAGTGGTATATTGGGTGGTTTGAACTTTAAAAGCCATGCAGTTTTTCCTGCAAACAGCCTAGGAAAGCCACCAATCTGTCTCAAATCACTCGTGTGACTCTAGTTCTGCCTTTCAGCCTGCAAAGGAAATGTCTCCCCAACCCCCACCTGGACTTCCTGCAAAGGAAATGTCTCCCCAGCCCCCATCTGGACTTCCTGCAAAGGAAATGTCTCCCCAGCCCCCACCTGGACTTCCTGCAAAGGAAATGTCTCCCCAACTCCTGCCCGAACTCCCTGCTGATGTTTTCCACTTTTCCTGTGCCTTACAAAAAACTTTCCCTTGGAAACCATTTTCCCTGGTTACTTCTTTGGCTGATTTTTCCACACAAAGAACTGAAAGCATTTATCCCCAAGGGAAGCAGCTATTTTAGATCTGACTAAGGAGTCAGCTAATATTTTCAACTTTCCCTTCTGTTCTTTGTTTTTAAAGAGAGTCTGGTTTTGTTTCACTTTCAGCGGGAGACTTAAATGACATCAAGCAAAGCCTACTTAGTTTAGATTTCCAGGTAAACATGTTTTAAATCTTAAGTTTCTACTACAGCATGTGGCGTGGTTTTATATCTGGGTATTTTGTGTGCAAATATGTTGAATCCTTAAAAAAATTGTCTCTGTATTAATAGACTGAAAAGTTAAACGAATGCTTTGTTTTGCTTACTTGTTTCTGTTCAGGATGACTTTACCCCCAGTATTTCAAATGTTAAGGAATATAAACTATTTTCATATGTTTAGATAGGATTATGTGATGAGTAGAATATCAACTGATTTGAAACTTTAATTTTCTCAGTTCTAAAGGAACATAAATATTTAATTAAAGCATTTTCCTCTTTAAGTCGGCTGGATAACATGAAGGATAACTTGTGACTTCATAGATAATATTGAAAATTATGGATACTTTTAAAGTTTACTTAAGAGAAATGAAAAGTATTAATGGAGAAAATAAGTCAATCAGAGTTTATAGATATTCAAATTTTGGATAAATATAAAAGGTCAAAAAGTAAAAGCATTACTTGATGAAAGTAATATTGTGATTAGAGTATCTAGAAACATGATTATAAAGTTGCTTATTAAATAAAAAACTAAATTCATTCTACATCCAGTGAATATCAATTAGTATTGAGAGCCATTTCTTTCTTTTTCTTTTCCTTTCTTTCTTTCTTTCTTCCTTCCTTCCTTCCTTCCTTCATTTCTTTTTTTTTTTTTTTTTTGAGACAGGGTTTCTCTGTAGCTTTGGAGCCTGTCCTGGAACTAGCTTTTGTAGACCAGGCTGGCCTAGAACTCACAGATATCTGCCTGAGGGCCATTTCTTAAAATATATTTAAACTAGATACTAAGTTTGATTAAAGTAAGACAGTTTTGTCAATTTACTTCTATAAAATCTATTTAGGTTTCAGGATTAAGTAAAAGTGAGTTCATTTGGAACAGGGAGACAAACTAAGAAAGGGGGTCTCAGGATGGCTATCCTGGGAGACTGGCAGCTAGCTAAGCAGACATTCTCTCCTAGCACTCACCCAATTCCTTGACAAGTGGGTGTTCATAGGAGGCTAGATTTTTCATGACCCTCATATATTACACATACGACTGTCAAGAGAAAAGACACTGTACATGTACGCGATACAGAATGTTCATATTGTGTGTCCATTAGGGCCCACTGCCCTAATTAGCAAATCCAGTGTTTTGTTTTTTGTTTTTCAAGATAAGGTTTCCATCTGCTCTGCCTCCTGAGTGCTGGGATTAAACGCGGGCGCCACCACTGCCTGGCTAGCAAATCCAGTGTTTCCTACCCCCTGATCCCTTGGCTTACATCTTCATTGCTTTCCTACAGTACTTCACTATAAGAGTTGACTCCATGCTAGGCGGTGGTGGTGCACACCTTTAATTCCAGCACTCGGGGAGCAGAGGCAGGCAGATCTCTGTGAGTTGGGGCCAGGCTCCAAAGCTATAGAAAAACCCTGTTTCGAATAAACAAACAAACAAACAAACGAATGAATGAATGGAAGAAAAAAAAGAGTTAACTTTAGGTGCCAATATGTTTGTTCCTTCTTTATATTCTGCAAACTAGTTTTTCTGAAACTAAAGCAGATCATGAAACTTTAAACATGATTTAATGTCAACGACCTAAAATAATTATTTTCAAAAGACTGGAGTACTTATACAAATACCCTGCACCAAAGTTTGATGCTGGAGTTAACATCAAGACATCTCCAAGGTTGTTAGCTGCAGAGTTTAGATGATTTAAGGGCAAGTCCATGAGGGTGAAACCAGGTAAAGCCTGGTTTAGGAGATTTTATTAGATAAAACTACATAAAGAACTACTGAGATTCAAGAGGAGAAGCCAAATATACATTGTGCCTTCTTGTCTCTCAAGTTCCTAGAAATAATAGAAGATAGAAGATTCATTAGCAACATGTGTGTGTATATGTGAGCACACACACACATGCGCTGGGAAACAAGAAGAGCTCCTTATAAGGCAGAAACTGGAAAGTCATTCAAGGGAAGACAGAATAAATTTAAAGATGGAGAATGGGGCTGGGGATGTAGTTTAGTGTTATGGTGCTTGGCTAGCATCTTTAATGCCCTAGGCTTCATTCTTTCATCCCTAGTGTTGGGTAAGAAATGGAGAATGGTGGGATAAATCTTTGACTAAGCATGGAAAAGAATTAAGCACAGAGAGTTCATCAGATAAGAAAGGAAGTTTATGGGTTTAAAAAATTTTAAGGAGGAAAAAAAAATCAATGTTATTCCTCATAGCAAACCTTACAAATGCTAAAGACATACTAAAAAGTAGAACATTTCTACAGGAAGGTAGAATAAAAATGCTTTCTACAAAGGGACAAGAACTGACTCACTACAATACTTCAAGAATGGACCAAGTTGGGTATGGTAGCTAACACCTGTCATCCTAACACTTGGAGGCAGTGGCAGCAGGACCACCACAAGTCCAAGGTCAGCCTAGTCTACATTGTTAGCTCTAGGCTAGCCACATTATATAGCAAGTCCCAGTAACAAAGAAAAACAAAGAATGAGAGAAGAGAAGGAAAATACTCAGCTGGTATCTGAAAAGTATTCAGGGAAAAATTATTTCGAAGCTATAATTCTAGTTTCAACCAAACAAGATGTTTTCAGACATTTAAGATTCACAATTTTTTTTTACCACATCTACAAGAAAGAAATCCATATTTTTGCAAAAAACTAAAAGTATCTGAAGGTGCTTCCTCTGGCAAGGAAAATGGATCTACTCATCTGCTGAGAACAAACAAGAAGATTAAAAAACAGAACCAGTATTTGGAATAAGACTGAAATCCATACTGCCTCAGGTCTGAAACTGCTTTGCTTCTGCAAACATCTTTGGATTCCAAAAGAGGTAGCTGAGAGTTTGATAGAGCTTTAAAATAGCTTCACAAGGCTGGGAGAAACACAAAACAAAGACTAGAACCAGCAGTAGGGGCAATGAGATTCCTGCTTGTGACATTATCAAAATAAGACCCACAGTGTGATGATACTGGATCACACAGCTGCAAATCACTTGATGTATTATTTACTGATAGTCTCTGTAACACCACATTCAAAATGTGAAAACCTTCTCTACACAGAACATACATTACTCCAGGCCTTAATCTTTGATGAGTGTTTATATAATGTCTGGCATGAATTCAGAAGGTATCAAAGGAAGAGTTGGAAGAACATGACTAAAGTTCTAAAGAAAGATAATAAGCACAAACAAAAAGAGGGTTCTGAAAACCTGATCTTCAGATAGACTTAAAGACAAACATGATTAAATATTCAAAGAGTAGAATATGATGTCAAAAACTGTAGTATAGAATTGAAAATAAAAATAGTTTACTGAAAACTAAAATACTGTAAAAGAAATAAGGAGGCCAACAGATGAATTTAATAAAGCATAAACCACAGCTGAAGAAAGTACTAATGAGCCAGGTCACTTAGACTTGTGAGAATAAATCATGTGACAACAGAAGAACAAAAATACAAAAAAAAAAAGAGACATGGAAGACATAATGAAAAAGTTATCACACAAATGACAGTAGTTCTTAAAAGAGTTCTTAAAAGAGTAAACTGCTAATGCATAGACAGATGAGGGCTTTAAAAACAACAATAACAAAACAAAACAACCCAAATCTGACCAAAAAAAAAAAATTCAGCATAATTCCAGCACTCGGGAAGCAGAGGAAGGCAGATCTCTGAGTTCAAGGCCAGCCTGGTCTACAGAATGACTTCCAGGACAGTCAGAGCTACACAAAGAACACCTGTCTCAAAAAACAAGCAAACAAACAAAAAACCAAAAACAGCATGCATTCATGCTGTATCATGTATCCCAAATGTAATAAAATTGAGGAACCACACCTTCTATGTGAATGGTCAGAAAAAAATGCTATTTTTAAGGAAGTGGTTTGAGTTATGACTTCTCAATTCAACCAACAAAGAAAGGCATGGTGCCATACTTCTGTGATCTTGCGGGAAGTCGAGGAAAAAGGATTAGAAATTTAAGGTCATCCATGATTATCAGTAAGTTTGAGACCAGCCTGGGCTCTAGGAGACCATGTTTCAAAACAAAACAAAAAGTAGAATCAATACAAACAAAAAGATAGGAGTGGTATCTTGAAAATGTTAGCCACTATTAACCTAAAAATCTACCCAGCAGTTGGGCATTGGTGGCACATGCCTTTAATCCCAGCACGGGGGAAGCAGAGGCTGGAGGAGCTCTGTGAGCTCAAGGCCAGCCTGGTCTACGTAGAGCGAGTTCCAGACAAGCTCCAAAGCTACAGAGAAACCCCGTCTCTTATTTGTTTGTTTTTGAGACAGGGTTTCGCTGTAGCTCTGGAGCCTGTCCTGGCACTAGCTCTTGTAGACCAGGCTGGCCTCAAACTCACAAAGATCCACCTGCCTCTACCTCCCAAGTGCTGGGATTAAAGGTATACGCCACCACCACCCGGCAGAAACTCTGTCTCAAACAAACTAGAATCTACCCAACAAACATGTACTTTGAGAATTAAGTATGAAAGCATTTTCAGCTGAAAAAAGAGTTGATCTGCAACAGAACTGTACAGAATGAGTTACTGTAGGACATTTTTTTTGAATGAAAAGGAAAATCTGAATAAAGATCTGGAGACACAGGAAAGAATGATAAGAAAAAGTACAAGTATTTAGGAGAGTCTAAGAAAGTGGCTCTCAAATGTGAAGCAGGTTGTTTGGTAATGTGTGGAAGTACTCTAGGTTGTCATAACTGGAGAACGTGCTAGTGAATGAGGCCAGGGGGCCCAAATATTGATAAGAGGTTCAAAATGTCTGATCTAATTGGTTTTTTGATACAGAGCAATGACAACAATCTTCTTTATTATATATTTATTGTTTGTGTTTGTACAAATGTGCAATGGTGTATATGTGAAGGTCAGAGGATAACTTGGGGAAGTCAGTGGTCACCTTCCATTGTGTGAGTTCCTGGGGTCAAACTCATGTTACCAGGATTGATGGTAAGCACCTTTATCTTGCCTGTGCCCCAAAAATAAAACAAGCATTTCATCATAATCTATAATCTCTATATATGGTATGCTTAACATATGTAGAGAATTAAAGTATATGATAAAAACAGCTTTTATGCCAGAAGGAGTAACTGGAATTAAAGCCACAGAATTGCTCAGAAAGTGGCAAAAGTATAACATTAAGCATAAGTAGATTGCATGTTCCAATCAAATACAGCGATTGTCAGACTGCATTAAAATCCAAAGAGTATATGAAAAGTATACTATATGAAAAGTATATGGAAAGGCTACAAAAATGCCAAGCATACATTACTAAAATTAAGTAGCTACATTAATAGACAAAGGAGCTCTTACTGGAGCACTAATGGAGATAAGGAAAGCCTCTACCTAATGATGAAAGTGCCAGGAAAATAAGACAACTCTGAAGCTGGATAGGCCCATAACATAGCTTTAACCTTGATTAATAAACTTGACCAATCTAATTTATAAATGCCAAGCAACATAGGAGGCAAACTGGTAAGTTAAAAAAGAGACTCTACTAATAATTTATTTGTAAATTTAAAAATAAAATTAAGAATATAAAAATGCTTCCAAAAGATGTGTGACTAAGAATGTTCCTGAGTAGCCAGGCATGGTGATGTATACCTACATGTACATGTAACAACATGTGGGACGGAGAGGCAGAAAGATGAGGAATTCAAGGGTAACTTCAGCCACATAAAACAGCAAAGAATAGACTAGACAGTAGTGAAACCTTTTTTTTTTTAAAAAAAAAGACTAAGAGAAATATTAAACTATCAGATATCAAATTTGTTGAGTAATTTACAAGATGAAAACAGGCTGAATAGACTACTTTTGAACCTACTGACGTGTGCCCACATGCTCAGAATTTCTTGCTGACTGGGATGAAAGAGGTTGGAGTATAATATATAGACTTTTCCCATTTATGTTTAAATAAATAAATTTCATTTATATATAATAGATGTTTAAATATATATGAGTATATGTATCTAGAAGAGGTCATGAAAGATACACTGAATTTGCCAGGCAGTGGTGCCACCACTGCCCAGCTTATTTATTTATTTTTTATGAGTGCTTATGTATGCCTTTGCACAATGTGCATGTATTACCCTTAGAGGTGAGGCATCAGAATTCTAGGTACAGATAGTTGTGAACTACCATGTGGATGCTGGGGAATCGAACCTGGGTCCTCTTTCAGAACACCTAGTACTCTTAATTGTTGAGCCACCTCTCCGGCTCTTAGTTTTTAAAGTTATAATTACTATTTACCATGTGTGCATGGGAATGTGCATACATATGCACGCCACAGAGCACATGTACTGGTAGGAGGAAATGTTTGGGAGTTATTTCTCTCCTTCCATTATGTGGGTCTCAAGAATGTTAAGTTTTTTGTTTTTTTTTTTTTTTGTTTTTTGTTCTTTTGTTTTTCGAGACAGGGTTTCTCTGTGGCTTTGGAGCCTGTCCTGGAACTAGCTCTGTAGACCAGGCTGGTCTCGAACTCACAGAGATCTGCCTGCCTCTGCCTCCCGAGTGCTGGGATTAAAGGTGTGCGCCACCACCGCCCGGTGGATGTTAAGTTTTTTTGGCGAGCACCTTTACCTGCTAGGCCATTTCACCAGCCCTTCTTTTGCCTTTTTAACAAGAATGAGAGACTGAATCAACAGTGTCATACATGCTTTAAAAAATTCTACCATAAGCTACAATTTTGTCACCCAGGCTGACCCCAATTTTCAACCTCCTGCACTGGACTGGATTATAGATGTGCCACTATGCCTGATCCATATGGTGAATTTTTGCCAAAACACCTGGTAGAATTAGGACTAGATTTGTGACAAGTGTGCAGATCAATTTGAGGAGAACTAAGAATTTAGCAACCATGAGCCATCTGATCCATATATAGGGTAAACATTTTCATTATAAAGGTCTCATTCCATTTCTTTCAGCAGCACTTCAGAGATCCTTTTTCAGAGCAGATACCTGTCCACAACTGGGAATGTGAATTCCCTATTCTTTGAAATCACAGAGAAACAATCTTGATTTTTAGATTGATATTATACCTGAAACCTGACTGGTTACAGCAGATTTTTAAGTAGAATCCACAAGATTTTCTATATTTTTGAAAAAAAATTATTTTACTTTTTCCTGTCTAGACTAAATGAAATTTCAGCAAATACTGGTTTATAATTGCTAAGTCAGCAACTATGCCCTGTTTCTCATTAAAAATAAATCTCTAGAGACTATAGAATGTTATTTATCTACATCTGGATATTTTTAAAAGTACAATGAAGGGTTTTATTGAAAGGTAGAGCAATAGCTTCCTGAAGTCCTGGGTCTCTTTTGTTTACTGGTTTGTGCCACTACACTTGCTAGAAAACCCAGCAGAGCACTGGCAGAGGTGAGAGAGTCCTCATCCTAGAGCTTTACAAGAAAACATTACATTTCACTATGAGTTACTGCTAAATGCAAGCTTCCTATGCCAGCAGAGTCAATTGGTGAGCTCTGGGTTCCGTGAGAAACCCTGTCTCAAAAGATAAGGTGGAGAGTGACTGAGGAAGTCACCTAGTGTTGATCTTGTTCCTTGATATGCACAGGTGCACACATACACACCTCCCCAACACACTCTAAAAAAATGCTATTTCACAGTCACTTTTATAAAGAATAATCATGCACTGCTCCCCAGCAAAAACAAAACAAAATAAAACAAAACAAAAAAAAAAAAACCAACCCACAAGTAGTGATGAAAATAACAGAAGAGGTGTGGGTGACACTCTAGCAGACAGGTAATGAGAAGCAGCTGCCCAAACTCTACAGCACTTTAGGAAACGGGTCTGCTGCTGCAGGCGTTTGCATTTTACATCTATGGCGGATTCAAGATTATAGTAACTAAGTGAATAGTTAGGACAGAGAACAAATAATCTAAAAAGGGTTAGATATTTACTATTTGACCCTTTATAGAAAATCTTGGCTCAGATCTTGTCTAGAGATATAGATATCCCAAAATCTGATGTGGCAGTAATATTGACTGATTCAGACCACACATCACACTGATACTACTCCCAAAAGCCTGCCTGCTGCTTCATAAGCCAACTAGGTCAATTTTCTGAAGTAAAAATGTAGTCACTACTAACTTGAAATTTTGTTTCCTTTTAGAAGTTTGTTGGTGAAAAAAAAATCAAACATGAAGCATGCAGTTTTGTTTTGTCTCATTCTGCTTATCATTTTCCAAACTGATTGTGAACAAAGAGAACAAGGTACTGGGAAGCAGAGGAGGAGGATACATCAGAGAAGACTCAGGAAAAGCTCCTCACTCCACCACAGAGCAAACAGGCAGCTTGGAAATCAGCAAACTGCTGCAGCAGCAAAAGCTGCATTACCCACTACCAACTCTGACTACAGTGTGGAGGGAAACTTAGAATCCCTTCTAAGTCCTCTTGGAGTAGAGTCAAGTTACAATGTGTTACCAGGTAAGAGAATGTCTGAGGGGAAAACATCTCCATGAACTGAACTCTCTAAAGGGGGAAAATTAAGTTTTTGTGCTACCTTTTGATATATAAACACAAATTTTAAAATAACTTTTAAAAGTATTCAAGGGGGCTGGAAAGATGACTCAGTGGTTGGGAGCACTGGCTACTATTCCAGAGGACCCAAATTCAAATCCCAGAACCCTCTTGGCAGCTGACAACTGTCTGTGGCTCTAATTCCAGGGATATGACATGCTCACAAAGACACACAGCCAGGCAAGACATCAATGCACACAAAATAAAAACAAATATTAAAAGCATTCAAGGAAAATACATAAATTATTGAGAAAAACCTATTTCACAGTATAAAATCATAATTATATGAGTACAAGTGATCATATTAATAATATAAGTAATATATATCAATTAGCAAAATCCCTTTCACTTATAATAACATCATCTAGAGTAGAAGCCAATCAAATGACTTTGATACAGGGCTATTTAAACAGTTTCAACACAAGGTTTTGTTAGGTAAAATGGAACAAAAACCACTGATTTTATTTTATACAGAATACTGATTTTTTTAATTTGTTTTTTCAATACAGGGTTTCTCTGTGTAACAGCTATGGCTGTCCTAATGCTTGCTCTGCAAATCAGGCTGGCCTAGAACTCAGAAGTCCACCTGCCTCTGCCTCCTGAGTGCTGGGATACTGATTTTTTGTTATTGTTTTGTTTTCAAGACAGGGTTTCTTTGTAGCTTTGGAGCCTGTCCTGGAACTAGCTCTTGTAGACCAGGCTGGTCTCGAACTCACAGAGATCCGCCTGCCTCTGCCTCCCGAGTGCTGGGATTAAAGGCGTGCGCCACCACCGCCCGGCAGTCTTTTCATTCTTTAAAAAATCAGTATCTCTGGTGGTGGCAGAGGCAGGCGGATCTCTGTGAGTTTGGACCAGCCTGGTCTACAAGAGCTAGTTCCAGGACAGGCTCCAAAACCACAGAGAAACCCTGTCTCGAAAAAAAAAAAAAAAAGACTGGAAATTCTGCCAAAGCTCTCAACTAATTTTTTTTTTTTTGAAACTAGCTTTTAATGATTAACAGTTTTCCAAGTTTGGAAGAAAAAAAAAAGCATTATATATATGTATATGTGTGTGTATGTATATATATGTTACCATTAAAAATATATATTTAATTGTTACCATTAAATGAAACTTTGAAAAGACAAAAAATAAAAATCACCTAATAATCCTCTGTAGCCAGTATTTCATACCTTGTCTCAACAAATTCATTAGTCTTATTCTTTCATCAAGTTAACAGTAACAAAATTATATGAAAAAAGAAAAATTATGCTATATTTGCTAAAAATATAAATGACTAGTGCATCCATCCAGTGTTAAGAACAAAGATATCTTAGTTAAATGAAAAGCTAGCTTAGTTAAGAGGAAAGTAAAAGCCCCAAACTAGCATGCATAATGTGATTTCACATACTTAACATTCTATTTTAAAATTTATTTTTATTTTTATTCATTATTTGTGTATGCAAGATATGTGCATGTATGTGGGTGCCACATGTCACAGAACATATGTGAAGGTCAGAAGACAACTTTAAGAAGTCAATTTTCTCCTTTCATGGCATGCACCTTTACCACTGAGCCATCCTTGCTGGCAAAAATTATTTTTGATGAAAAGTATTATTTATTCAAAAATATTTAGGGACTGGAGAGATAGCTTAGTGGTGAAGAACTCATAGTGCTCTTGCCGAGGGCTGGAGTTTGGTTCCTAGTACCAATACTGGGTAGCTCACAACTACCCATAATTCTATTTCTAGGGGATTCTATATTTTATTCTAGTTTTTAGTACTCATATGTACAAACCTACAAGCAAACACAGTTAAAAATAAAATATAAAAAGTTGCATTTAAAAATCAGCATACAAAGTATTAGGTTTCATTGTGGCACTTTCTTTTTTTTTTTAATATTTATTTATTTATTTGTTATGTATAGAATATTCTGTCTGTGTGTATGTCTGCAGGCCAGAAGAGGGCACCAGACCTCATTACAGATGGTTGTGAGCCACCATGTGGTTGCCGGGAATTGAACTCAGGACCTTTGGAAGAGCAGGCAATGCTCTTAACCTCTGAGCCATCTCTCCAGCCCCATCATTGTGGCACTTTCAAATTTAATTTTGTTGGTCCTCCTTTTCCTCCTTTCTCCCCCTCCCCCTTCTCAGGGCACTCTCTTTTGCTTTCATTTTACATGTGTTCCATTACCTTCCTATTTTTATAACCTATACCACTACTCACACCCATATATATGTATTATATAAACACATAAAAATGAAAAGAATTAACATAAGAGAAAATAGACAAAAATAAATAAGACTATATTGGGGATGAAATGGTTAAGAGCCCTTGCTGCTCTTATAGAAGAACCATGTTTAGTCCCCAGCACCCAAAAGGTGGTGAACAGCAATCTGCAATTAAAGTTTCAAGGGATGCCTTCTTCTGACTTTTGAGGGCATTGCATGCAAGTGGTACACACACACGCAGGCAAAACATGAACAGACAAAAAAACTTAAAAAATAAAAGTTATTATATTGAGGTAATTCAGATTCAGAAAGAAATTACCACATGTTCTCATATGTAGGTCTGATTTACTTTTTTGAGATAGGGAGTTTCACTATGTTGCCTTAAAATCCTAGATCACAAAATCCTCCTGCCTCAGCCTCTTTACTTGGGACTACAATAGGTGTACAAGTCACTGTCTTAAATTAAAACAGAAAACACACTGCCAACAAGCTGACTCACAACATGTCAAACCTCTACAGTTTTTTAAGTAAATGAGAAATGATCGGGTTTTGAAGGTTGTTTGTCCATTGCCAAAATTTAGCCTATCTTGACAGATAGATACAAGACAGACAGGAAATCCAAAGTCAAGTTACTAGGAGGAGGTCACTCAGCAGCAAAAAGAAGAAACAATGAAAAGCATTTTAGATAGCAAGTCTGTAGGGTATTTAATCTGTGCATGCTGTATACAGATCTCTATTCTCAGGTAGTTGTATCATTTTGACTTTGCATTGTATTTTTACCCATTCATGGATTCTGATAATCGCTGAAGACATTTAAGTATGTGTTCCTGCTAGGCATGGTGGCATGTTCTTTTAATCCTAGCATTCAGGGGGCAGAGGCAGGTGGTTCTTTTATGAGTCTGAGGCTAGCCTGGTCTACATAGTGAGTTCCAGGACAGCCAGCACTATGTAATAGAGAGAGTCTCTCTGTCTCTGTCTGTCTGTCTGTCTCTCTCTCAACCAGTCTGTCTGTCCATCAGTTAGTCAGTCAATCAAAATGCTCTCTTTTTCCCCTAGGAAAGAAAGGACACTGCTTTGTGAAGGGAATGATCATGTACAACAAGGCCATCTGGTCTCCTGAGCCCTGCAGCACCTGCCTCTGTTCAAATGGAAGAGTACTTTGTGATGAAACTGTGTGCCACCCCAAGACGTGCCCCTATACCATTAAGCCAGAAGGAGAATGCTGCCCCATCTGTTCTGATGCTGGTATACAATATAAAACAAACTACCACAGATAATAGGCTTTAACTATTTGTATTTATTTTATCATTACATTAAGGTATAAATTATTATAAATGTAGTCATCAAGGTACTTGAAAAGCAGCTCAGTGCTAATAAACAGAACTATCTAGAAAATGTATTTAGGGCACAGAAAGAGATTGTGGCTCTATAGTTCTAATTCTTAGACTGAGTCAAGTTGAACCTGATTCTGTTTCATGTGTGAATGTTATAAGGTTTTAGAGACACAGCAACAGAATTCCTACAATAAACCCTCACTTAGTAACTAGTTCAGGATTTCACTTGGGTCTGTCTGTATATGCATCATCCTATTAATGATTAATTAATCATCCTATTAATCAAGCTTGTCAGAAGTATACTAATCACTACTATGAGTTTCTCTTGTCAATATCAAGGCAGATTGTTCTCCCCTCCCCCACAGATGACCAGAAGACACACATATACAAAAGCCTCCTGCCGGGAGGAACTTCAGAATCTTTAGAAACTGTTCTTTGCTTCACACTGTCAGTTATTTCACTATGGCACTGTACTTTATTTTGAGGACGGTTCCTACTGTGTAGCTGGGCTGGCCTGAAACTTGCTGTGTAAGACCAGGCTGGCCTTGAATTCATAGAAATTCCCGTCTTTGCTTCTGTCACCCAAGTGCTGGGATTAAAGATATGAACCAACAAGTCTGACCCAAAGCATTTTACTTTTAAAAAACTATTAGAAGGTGTGCCCATCAAAATTGTCTCTTTGAAATAAAATACAAGGCTATTATAGGCAAACTTCAGAAATTCTTAGATATTTTTCAAAGGATTTTGAGTCTTCTTAAAATGTAGTTATTTTAGGTAAGGAAACCTAGACACAGAAAGGATTCTAAAAGTTTAAATACAATATCTTTAGCTTCCACTTAGCAAATTCCCTCTCTTCTGCGTGTTTTGCTGTGAATGTTAAAGAAAAATTCTTCAAGCCAGGTGGTGGTGGTGGCACACACCTTTAATTGCAGTACCTGGGAGGCAGAGACAGGTGGATCTCTGAGTTTGAGGCCGGTCTGGTCTACAGAGCTAGTTCCAGGACAGCCAGGGCTACACAGAGAAACCCTACAAAAGAGAAATAATGTTAGTTAACTTCAGGAAAAACTTCAGCTGCATTTTATCTTTACATAGCCGTCAAACAAAGGGAATATTTGTTAACTTCATTTACATTATGGCTTTTTCCATTTATTAACATCATCAACTCACCCATTACTTTATCCTTCTGTGATCATTAGCTTCCTATTCTCTACTAAGTGGTAGAACACTAAATGATAAGACTGAATTTTCTGGTGATTCTTCAGAACAAAGAGAATCCGTTGACATGCTTCACAAGCAAGTGAAACCTCCTCAGATGGAAATGGACCAAATAGTTATAAAAGAAGCTCTTCAATCCGAGGAGGAAGAAGAAGACATGAAAGAACACATGGAGCACAAGAACGAAACCTCTGGGCCTACTACACTTCACAGTGATGAGGAAAAAGTGGAGGGAAAGCTGAGGTCTGAGGAGGAAAGGCGGTCAGCACGTCAACCACTCTACCATGGACGAGGGGAGGAAGAGGATGATTATGAGGAGTCTGAAGGGGAAGGAGAAAAGGAAGAGGAGGATGCCATAAGAGGAGATGTGTTCCGAATGTCCCCCAGGTTAATGCCTGGTACTCCAAGAGGCAGGCCACGCCTGCCCGGAAGCTGTGCCCTGTCCTACAAGACCATCAGCTGCATTCATGCGGCCTTCACCCAGATCCCACCAATAACAGCACCAGAAGTAACAAGCCTGGAGCTGGCTGGTAAGAGATGATGACTTATTTTGGGTTCAGATATAAATGGTGAATTTTACTACCCTATGAATATTACTTTGATTTAATAGGGACTTATTTTCATCGTCTTCACACAGATAACTGTGCAGCAGAGATGGGCACAGTGAAGAATGTCTCAGGTTTAGAGAGAACTCTAACCAAGTGGTGATTTCCCAATGAGCATTTTAAAAATTAGCATTAATAGGGTACACTTTGTCTATGTGATAAAACATTAACTTATAATGTTTAGTTCTACAAGTTTCTAAAGAGGTAAACACTACCACAGTTCAGATCAAGAATATTTCCATCACTCCCCAAATTTCTCTTATCTCCATCTCCTCCAGTTGTTGACCACCACAGAAACTGACCTGTTTCTGTTTATTGATTTGATTTTTGAGTTTCACTAAATAGACTCACACAGTAAGTAGCCTTGTAGTTCAACATCTAATGCTTTAAAAATCATTAGTTCATTTTTCTTTATTGCTGAGCGGTATCCTACTGTATAAATCAGCTAGAGAATGATTTTTTTCCAGCTTATGGCAATTTTGTATGTTGCAGCTAAACATCCATATACAGATGTTTGTGGGGCTCTAGACCGTCATTCTTCATTATTCCTAGAAACAGCACAATGGGCTGAGACATATGGCAACACACTTAAGAAACTACCCAACACGTTCTAAGGTGGTTGTCCCATTGCTGCAAGCAGTTACAGCTATTCCACAACCTCAGCAATTGCATTATCAGCTGTTTTCTTTCCTTTAGCCATTTCAATGAGAATGTGGTGACCAGACCTTTTGCCCATGTCTCTATAAGGCTACCAGGAAAAGTTCTGAGTGGTGGAGCATTAAGATTTCATTTGCATGTTTCCTTCATAGTTTTCCATTGCCATTTACCTGAACTTGGAAATATGATGCTTTTTATATCCAAGAAATCAAAGAAGATCACTCATTGTCTGTGAATATGTTTCCTTCTCTGTATAAGAAGTACAGGGAGGCCGGGCGATGGTGGCGCACGCCTTTAATCCCAGCACTCGGGAGGCAAAGGCAGGCGGATCTCTGTGAGTTCGAGACCAGCCTGGTCTACAAGAGCTAGTTCCAGGACAGGCTCCAAAACCACAGAGAAACCCTGTCTCGAAAAACCAAAAAAAAAAAAAAAAAAAAAAAAGAAGTACAGGGAGCTGAGTAGTGGTGGCGCACGCCTCTAATCCCAGCACTTGGGAGGCAGAGGCAGGTGGATTTCTGTGAGTTCAAGGCCAGCCTGGTCTACAGAGTGAGTGCCAGGACAGGCTCCAAAGCTACAGAGAAACCCTGTCTCAAAAAAAAGTACAGGGAAATGGTAGTAAAAAAATATAAAAATATGAAGGAAAAACACAAACCTTTGTTGTAAGTGCACATTGCCCTAGCCTTGTCCAGCAGATTATTGTAGTTATTTTAAGTAGTTTCATTTGAAACATGAGGTTCTAACCAAGACACACTTTACACTGTTAAATTGTTTCATTCTAATCTTGCTATTTTTCCAAGTATGCATTTGTTTATATATTCTGTCCTTGTTCTGAATATTGCTTTCCTTTCCATATAAAGCTCACTCTTAATATTCATGTATACAGAAACATGCACACACATTTAAGTATATATGTACATGTCTATATATGCACATGTTTCTAATACAACTATTGTACATCCTAGGGAATTCAATCATTTCCATTCCGGACGAAGCATTTAATGGATTACCAAATTTGGAAAGGCTTGATCTGAGCAGAAATAATATCACTTCTTCAGGCATAGGTCCAAAAGCATTCAAGGTATACACTTCCATTAATATGTAACAAGATGACTCCTACTGGCTTTAGGTGGAGGTGGGGAAGGAAAAAATAAGCAGAAAGGTTTTTATTGTTAATTTTTTCTACATTAAGTTTCTTCTCTGATGTCCTTAAATTATATCATTTTCTTTTGCTTATCATTTTTTGCTTTACATATGTTAATCTTATGGGAAGAGTAGCAACAATAAGATCAGACATAACCAATGTTTTGAATTTAAAGAATAGTTTCTTCCCAGTAGATGAATATACATTGAAGTCTGGTCTCTTGGTGTGAAGAATTGTCCAATAATAAGAGAGAGCATATTTGGGGGCCTCTACTAATATGGTCAGACCAGCAAGGTGAAGCTTTCTTATTTTTGCACAGTATACATAATGTGATGGAGAATATTTTGGCAGCAAGAGTTTAAAAAGCAAATGAGCTCAATGCTAATCTTTTAGCATGAGATAGATTTGTGAGGAAGAATGAAAGAGAAAGGATAGCAAATGTACAAAGAAAACCTTTGAAGAAAACCGATTTGACCAAAAGATTTTTTTTTGAAAAAGGAGAAAATACTCATCTAGATCGGGGAATTTCAGGGAAACAAAGATAGAAGCAAGAGAAGAAAGGTTGGTGTGCATAAATGAGATCGCATATGCTTTGAAGCCGTAGGTAAAGCACACTCTATCTCACTAGGTTAATTTCCCCCCTTTGGATAATAAATATTCTGGGCCCTTGATCTGCCCTTGAAACAAATAAGTGGCCTTTTGGATTCTCTTCTAGTTCTCTGGAGTCTATGCAGGCAGATGGGGGGAGGAGGACTCCCAGTGCCTGCTTCATATTCTCCATCTTTCTGATCAAACAACAGATGGCATAGAGGGTCATAGATCTATCTGATAATTGAGCAAGAGAAAAATGTCATAGATTATCCTCTTTTTGATATGGGGATTTTCTGTCCTGGTAAAATTTGGAAATGATTCCTGTGATGCCTGGAGAAAGCAATCATTCTACATGGCTTCAGAAAAATCCATTCACTGCAGCTTCCCACTGCAGGTGGTTCAGGACATGCCTGGAATGAGCATGCAGCTCTAAATGTGGGAACATACTGCGCAGAAAACCAGCTGTTTGGGTAATCACATATACATATAATTACTTAGTTTTGAAATTTTTTATATTTTTACTACCTAAAACAATTTTCAAATTTAAATATATTTTGATCATATTCTTCCCCTCTAAGTCCTTTTAGATTCTCTTTTCCTCTCTGCCCATCTGAAAAGTGCTATTTTATAATCAAATTTCTAGCATAAATATTAGTGAAATAGGAAACTGAACTTTATAAATAACATTAATATTAATTATTAGCATTTATACCAGGTTCAAATTACTGAATTCAGTTAATGAAACTTGTTTATTGCTAAGAAGGTAAAATCGCTGGCCTTACAAAATAAGACTGACCATTCTATGGGAAATAGTGAACCAGCTGTGATTGAGAAAAATGGTAACCTTGAGAATTGCTTTTCTAAGGTTTTGAAGAAGTTAATGCGTCTGAACATGGATGGAAATAATTTGGTACGCATCCCTTCAGAATTACCATCTACACTAGAAGAACTTAAAATAAATGACAATAATCTCCAGGCCATCGATGAAGAAAGTTTATCAGGTATTTAAATCCTGTGTGTGAGAGTGTGCGCTTTGCAGACCAGGGGTAAACGATGTCAGGTGTTTTCCTCTATCATTTTCTACCGTCTTCCCCCCCCCCCCCCACTGAATTTGGGTGAGTAAGTCCACAGGATTTGTCTGTTTCTGCTTTCTATAGTTGGAAATTATAGGCACGTCCTGCAATATCCAGCTTTTACCAGAGTGCTAGGGATCTGAAATCAGGTCCTCATGCTTGAACAGTGAGCACTTTACCCACTGAGTAATTTCCCTAGACCAACACTTTTTTAATGATATATATTTTATAACCATTCTCATTATCCTGTATAAATTGATTTATGGTATTGCTAAATGCATAATAAGAAAATTTTAGGTTATTTCACCATTAAGTTGATAAACTAACTTTAATCACTTACCCAATATATATGTCTCTATTGCCTTTTCAATGTCCTGCTGTCCTTAAAATTAAAAAAAAGCCTTAATCAGCACAGTAACTCTCTAACAAGCCCTTAGTATCTGAGGAGGTCCACTAATACTCCCCGAGCACCATGTATTTGGGTGACTCACTGTATTCATATGCATTACTACTTATTTTCCTATGCTGGAACCTCAGTCCAAGAGTGTGAAAATCCTGTGTAAAGAAGGAATGAGCATGCACTGTGTGTGAAGCCGGGGTGCTGTTATACAGTGGAGGAAGAAATCTCACAGTAGCAGCCTTGGGCAGCTCTGTTCTTTGTTTGTCTGGTTTGTTTTTCGAGACAAGGTTTCTTTGTAACAGCCCTTACTGTCCTGGAACTAGCTCTTGTAGACCAGGCTGGCCTTGAACTCACAGAGATCTGCCTGCCTCTGCCCCCAAGTGCTGGGATTAAAGGCATGCACCACCACTGCCCAGTGGCAGCTCTGTTCTTGAGAGTGTGTGAGAGGCGAAGTCCTGCCAACTTTGTACCCCATGATGTAGAAAGTGAAGCTGTCATCACAGCTTGGCTTTCCGAGGGACAACTCAGTGAAGCATGTTTAGACATGCTAGAGTGGACTCTTGCTCTTCTTCCTCTAGTGACACGCAGCTGAAGCTGTCAGATTGCAACTGCACAGAAGTATCATTTTTGAACAAACCCTTACACCATTGATTAGCTTGTGAATTCCCGTAAGACAAGACTGCCTAATTTTCTTTTTCATTTTCATAACCATCTAGCATTGCTCATGAAGTATAGTGCCCAATATTTTCTGCTAACTTGAGTTGAAAGAGTTATTAAGCAATATTGAAAGAGAGCACATACAAAGGAATAAGCAATCCAAATAGTACTTCTGTTAGCTTCCAAAACACTTCATAGGAGAAAACACTTCCGTTGATGAGAAAAAACAGTAATTATTGAGAATTGCCAAATGTGAGAATTACATAGTTATGGAAACACTCAGTTTCCAGATGGATTTGAATGTGCACATGAAAAACATTAATAAGCACAGATTTTGATGGGCTTTGTCATATGGAAAAGACACTGGAAACTGAAAGGAACACAAAATTGAGAACAAAGATATATATAGGCTGTGTAAACTGGGTTTACATTTCTAGCTCTGCTATTAAAATGATACCCTATAAAACCATAAATTACTGATCTTTCTTTTATGAGGCAGGGACTCACTATGTAGTATAGGCCGGTTTTGAGCTTGCAATCTTTCTGTCTCAGCTTTCCAGGTGCTGGGTTTAGTCATGAACCACCAAGTCTTACTATATACTTCCTATTTTGAAGTTTTTCTCATATTTCCATGGAATAGCTTCTCAGCACATGTTGTCCCTCTCAAACAAATATGTTGTATTTCCAGAGTGTTGATCTGTAGTTCTGGGTGAACTGGCCTACTTCTCTCTAATCTCTATGCACTAAGCACAGAGGAAGTCACATCTTTATGCTGGTAGCCAGGAAAGATCTCTTCTGCTCTCTCACATTAGACATCTTCTGGTACTTACTGGGTACCTGCGTTCTTTCTTAGTCATGCTGTATATTGGCCCCTGAGGTCTAGATATTCCTTGGCTGAGGCAGGTGCTGGGCTCCCTTGCCTCTGGTGAGTTCTGCCACTGTGGGTAATAGCTAGCAGGTGAGCCTGCACATGACCTCCCCCAGTGCTGTGACACAGCCTTTCTGTGTGCTGCCTCTAAAAGCCACTGTCCTCTAGTTATCCTTTCCCACAGCTACTCACTCACCAATGGCCTTTTAGATCACAGTTTCAAAGAAATGGAAAACAAGGAGAGAAAAGCCATGCGAAAGAAAGAGAGGCAGTTGTAGATGCTGCAGGAACTGTAGGCGCGGGGGGTGGGGTGGGGTGGGGTGGGGCTGGAAATCAAGTGTTAAGGAGGTGGGTATACAAGAGCACACATAACTAACTAGTAAAGGAGACCATCTGAGACACTGGATGTGTGCTAGACAGAAAGGGAAGCACTACCACGCAGGAAGAGTAAAAGGCAGAGGGAGGGGTAGTAGAAAACAGGATGTGCTTCAGAATATTCTTGTCATGCCTCATGACTAGAACAGTCAAACTAAAGTCACCTCACCCTGACCGCTTTAGTCCACCAGGAACACTAATATGCCATTCTACAATGGGTCACTATCTTACCCACAACAAAGGTCTTTTACCTCTATTTTCTTGTTAGGAATCCTTTCAACAGTGACCTCAGATCTAACATAACTAAAATGTTCTTTACCTCACCTCTCTCTGTCTCTGTCTCTGTCTCTCTCTGTCTCTCTCTGTCTCTCTCTGTCTCTCTCTCTCTCTCTCTCACACACACACACACACACACACACACACACAGAACAGCACAGGAACACAAAGCATTGTGAATTTGTTGTTTCTCAGGATGTCATGTAACTAACCACTTCTATTCTCCACTTTTCAATAGAAATGTCTATAATTCAAGATCTCTACCTATATGTTAAAGAAAAGCTGGATCCTCTGCACCTTTAATTTTGGTAATAAGATACAAAGAAACATAATTATGGTTAGTTTCCTGGCTGTCTTCCCTATTTCTTTGATTGAAGCTACGTTACCACCAGCAGAGTAATCTGTTCTTATGTGGCTTTTGTCACAGCACCCTCAGTTTTGTACTTGGGGATATAGAGAATGAAAGCCATACCTAAATCAAAGGGACAATTGCATCTAGTCTGAAAAATAATTTTACCCTGCTACACATAGTTTACCTAAGATGAGGCCTCCATCCCAGCAGGTTCAAACAGGCCTTTTATCTCCATGTGTTCTTTCTAAATCTCTGTATCCACAAGGTAAGGCATTGATTATCTCTATTTCTCACGAGACTGTCATTGCTGTTGTACAGAATGGGCCTGAGCTGCACAGGGCATTCATTGCAATGCTGATGACAGAGGTTGAGCAGGAAAACATCCCCTACTAGGGGAACCTCTGACTCAGAGGCCCCTGGGTATGTCACTGTTGAGTGGTTCATGCTCTGTCTGACCTGGATGACACCACTCCTGAGGCCAGCAAAAAGAGGGTAGGAAAAAAAAAAACTTGTTTGTATAAAGGTCTTTCTTGATAGTTCAGTCTGACTACATGGAGAATTCTGATAATATTTTCTTAAATAAAACAAAATAAAAATCCTTTCATTTGGCCTCACTCTGTGCCAGTAAATGAGAAACTATGATGGGAATTCACTGCTTTGGTATATTTCTCTTTTCTTTTTCTCCTCCTCTTCTGAGACAGCATCTCACTATATAGATGTGGCTGTCCTGGAACATTCCTATGTAGACCAGTGTAGCCTTAAACTCACAGAGATCTGCCTGTCTCTGCCTCCTGAATGCTGGGATTAAAGGCGTGCGACACCACTACATCTGGCACTCTGCTATATTTCTAACTTGCCTGTTGAGAGACTGAAGGTTAGTGAGGACAGTGTTTGTTTCTGTGTGGGATGATGAAGAGAATCACCATCCCACTGCGTATCACATTACCAATTTATACTGACAGGTATTTGCAAATGCTTCCAATGAATGTCATGACACCCTTACTCCTTGTCCACTTAAACTCCAAATCTCTGTTTGGCAAGTGTCTTCTTAATCATTGTTACTACTGCTGTGATGAAATATTATGACCACAGCAACTTGGGAGGAAAGGGTTTATTTGGCTTATGCTTCCACAATACTGTTCATTATGGAAGGAAGTCAGGACAGAAATTCAAGCAAGGCAAGAACCTGGGAGCAAGAGCTGATGCAGAGGCCATGGAGGGATGTTGTTTATTGGCCTGCTCAGCCTGCTTTCTTATACAACCTGGGACCACCAGTCCATGGATGACACCACCTGCAATGGCCTGGGCCCTCTCCCATCAATTACTAATTAAGAAAATGCCTTACCAGCTTGTGTTCAGTCTGATCTTATGGAGGCATTTTCTCAATTGAGATTCCTGCCTTAGATGACTCCAGCTGTGTCAAGTTGACACAAAACCAGCTAGCACAAGGAACATGGCCTCTAGAGGTGATCCTTACTTTTCTATCTACCTTCTGTTCTTCCTTGTTTCTGCTCCTTATACATATTTGTACCCTTCAACACCTGAATTATTTCCCTCAACCATGATTCTTGTCCTGGTAGAATTGTGCAGAAGTCATGTATAAAATACTCAGAAAAAGGATTTATGTGGGACACAAAGATAAAGAAATAACAAATCTCCAAATACACTGAATTTTTTTCAAATGGTTTCTTTCTTCTTTTCATTGTTTCTTCTTTGTGCAGTGCTGGGGCTCCAGTCTAGGTCTCAAGCAAGTGCTCTGCCACTGGGCTACATCATCAGTCCAAACTACATGCTTTTAAAATTATTCTAATATTCAGATAATTTTATTTTTCTAGACTTAAATCAACTTGTCACCTTAGAATTGGAAGGAAACAATCTCAGTGAAATCAATGTCAATCCGTTAGCTTTCAAATCTTTGAAGAGCCTTTCATACCTACGTCTGGGAAAAAACAAATTTAGAATCATACCACAAGGTCTTCCTGCTTCTATTGAGGTACTGATATATTTCTTCTAATTTCTGTTTGTTTTGTTTTCTGAAACAGGATCTCACTATGTAGTTCATGCTGGCCTAGAAATCATGATCCTCCTGCTTCAGCCTCCTGAGTGTAGTGTGTGTCATTACACTGAACTTGTTTAATGTTTTAAATGTATTACATACTATAAAATATACAAGTATCCTTTAAATATTATTATTATTGTTGTCAGTGTGAGAGAAAGACAGAAACGCGCATGAGTATAGGCATATACACATCACAATGTGCATGTGGAAATCAGAACACAACATTTGGGAGTTGGTTTTCTCTCTTCCACCATGAATTGCTGGCCTCAAATTCAGGTTGTTAGGCTTGTGTGGCAAGCACTTAATACCTACTAAGCTATCTGGCTCTAAAACAAATATTGTAGACGACTACTGTAACATATATTAAACTCAATAGAGTTCTGGTACTAATATACAGAATTCACTATCATCTGAGTATTAGATGCATCTGATAAAATAAAAAATGGTAATGATGACAGCTCTTGGTGGGGAAGAGACTGATTAAATTATTCCAATCCAGAACCAGCAAGTTTAATTACTTGTCCCCTGTCTACTTAGGGTTTCTATTGCTGTGACAAAACACTATGACCAAAACAACTTGGGAAGGAAAGGGTTTGTTTTGCTTACATTTCCACAGCACTGTTCATCATTGAAGGAAGTCAGGATAGGAACTCAAGCAGGGTAGGAGCTGATGCAGAGGTTGTGGAGGAGAGCTACTTACTGACTTGCTCCACATGGCTTGGTCAGCCTGCTTTCTTAGATATTGCAGGACCACCAGCCCAGGGATGGCACCACCCACAGTAGGATGGGCCCTTCCCCATCAATCACTAATTAGGAAAACACTCTACAGGCTTGCCTCCAAGCTGATCTTATAGAGGCAGTTTTTCTTCCTTTCTTTCTCTCTCTCCCCCCTCCTTTCTCCTCTTCCTCTCTCTCTCTCTCCCTCCCTCCCTCCTTCCTGTTTTTTGAGATAGGGTTTCTCCATGTGTAGCTTTGGCTGTCCTGGAATTCACTCTGTAGACCAGACTGGCCTGGGGCTCACAGAGATCCCCCTCCTCTGCTTTCCAAGCACTGGGATTAAAGGGATGTGCCACTACCGCCCATCTGGAGGCATTTTCTTAATTGAGGTTCTCTCTTTTCAGATGACTTTAGCTTGTTTCAAATTGACATAAAACTGTCCAACACATCTCCAATTCAAAATTTCTGAGTGAAACTATATTCTGACCTAATAATAACAGTATGGACCTAAGAATTGTACCAATAAGGTCTGAACTATTTTATTAACGCTGAAGCTTAGAAATTTTCACCAGTTCTACCCACAACTGTACTGTATCTAACTTCAGGTTCCAGACCCTGTTCTTATTTCAAACCTTTTGGAGTTCTCTCCCGTTGAGGTGGTCTGTGGTCAACAACTGTCTATGCTCATTTCTTAAATTAGGAACATTGAGGTTCAGAGAATCTATACATACAGACCAAACTGGAACTCAGATGTCCTAATCTGAGCTTTTGTTCCCCCCCCCCACATTCCATATTCATTCTGCAAAAAGTCAGTACAGAGTTCTTCTAGTCCTATTGGCAGAACAGAGAGTTGTCTACTATGATTGTATGCTTTTGTCACACTACTACATTCCTGCGTCTCCCTACTGCTAAAGAGACATAGCTATGTAATATATACCACTTTACATCAGAATTACCTAGGGTTTTTTTTTTTTTTGGTGGTTTTTCAATACAGGGTTTCTCTGGGTAGGTAGGTAGGTCTGGCTGTCCTAGAACTTGCTCTAGATCAGGCTGGCCTTGAACTCAGAGATCTGTCTGCCTTTGCCTCTGGAGTGCTGAGATTAAAGGCGTGAGTCACCATGTGATAAAGGATTTCCCCTCTGTGTACTAAGAATTTATTATCCTAGTCTGGGCTTGAACTCTTGATCCTCCTGCTTCTATCTCCCAAGTGTTGAGATTATAGGCGTGTACCACCTCCATGCCCTGCTTTATATGGTACTGGGGATCAAAAGCATATTCCAGCCCTCATCTAAATTATTAAGACATAAACACTTCAGAACCTATCCTTGACATGCTAATTCTTATTTTTTGTCAGCAAAGTCAGATATCTAAATTATTTTTTAAAGATACAAAATTTTAGAGAGACATGGCTCAACTGGTAACCTAGCTCATGCAAAGCCTGACAACTGAGTTTGATCCCTGAGCCTATATTGTGGAGATAACTGATAACCCACAAGTTGCCTTCTGATTTCCATACATGTATCTAGCCACATACACATAAGCACACAAAACAAATGAAATAAAGTTTTTAATATTTTTATATATGAAACTGGTAAAATACATACATGTGTAATTTAGGTGATAAAAAATATCAATATTCTCCTCCTCATGCCTGAACTTTCCAGCCTGGCTTCTGTCTTTCCAGTGGGACCTATTTCCACCAATCTTGGAAATTCTGGGCATACAGTGTACAGCATATGCTGTTTGCTAACAGACCAGCCTTATGTCATGGTACATCTAAAGACTGTTTTACTTCAACTTTCTTATAGCTTTAGAGTCCTCAGCATATGAAGTATTCAAGAACAGACTTAAATACCCCTTCTGGGGATTTACTTAGGTTGGAATTTTCTACTTTAAAAGGCTCATGAGGAGGTGAGTCTGATGTGTCCTTGAGTTTGGAAACCTCTCATGTAATTCATCCCTTAAGTACAGAAGACAATAAAAACAAAAAGCTAAACATTCCTTTATGCATTTCTAAAAAAAGCCAAAATTAAGTTACAAAAGAAAAATAACCATAGTATGAATAAAAAGTTACATTTAACAAATAAACCAATTCTACTTATGTATTCTAACTATAACCAGAAAAAATTAATAATTAAGACCCTTTAGTAATTTTTTTCTAATACCAGAAACTTACTGAATGTTAACTTTACTTTTGAGTAATTAATTATAACTCAAGTCTAAAAACATGACCCTAAAATCATTATAGAAACTATGGAATAGTTAGAAGCTGGTCTGAAGCTAAGGTTCAGTTAGACTGGACCCTCATGCATTCTGGAACCTAGGGTGAGCATTACTCTCTCTGCAGGCCTAACACTGGTGAGCTGTGACTATTTCCACCCATAATTTTCAGTGTTCTGAAACTCAAGTAGCATAATTAATGTAAGTTTTGGGGTTTTTGTTTTTGTTTTTTTTTTTGAGACAGTTTCTTTGTATAACACTCATGGCTATCCTGGAATTCGTAGACCAGGAAGATCTCAGACTCACAGAGATCTGCCTGCCTCTGCCTTCCAAGGCCGCCATGTCCAGCTAAATAATGTAAGTTTTGTTAAGTCAGAAAATTTATACAATCAAATGATATGCTAAACCTTATAACATTATGGCTAAAAAAAACCATACTTGGTTGAAGAAATGACTTGGTAAAGCGCTTGCCACATAAATGATCCCTAGGCTCAGTAAGAGATCCTGTCTCAAAAACTAAGGTGGAGAGTGACTGAGGAAGATACCTGATACCAACCCCTGTCCTCCACATGCTCCTGCACACACATGTATGCATACTCTGTCTCAAAAAAAAAACTGAATGAAAAAGTATAAATTCACTAGAAAAAGCAATAAGACTTTAAATAATACTAATGTGAATAGTCTATTTTAGTTTCATGAAATCAGATATCACTGAACACAAGTGGAAGAGAAATAATATTTTCCCTTATTTATAGGAATTATACCTAGAAAATAATCAAATTGAAGAAATAACTGAAATTTGTTTCAATCATACCAGAAAGATTAATATGATTGTACTACGTTATAATAAAATAGAAGAAAGTCGGATTGCTCCTTTGGCATGGATAAATCAAGAGTAAGTATCTACCACAATGTATTTTTCTTAGCATCCTTTCCCGTGGAACAGTTACTCTTAATTACAAAATTTAGCTACTTCACTGAGTTTCCAAACCACTTATTATATAAACAAGTGGTATTATGACCACTACTGCCTTTGGACGTGCTAAGTGCTAAACTATAAAGAAGGGGGGGGGCTTGGCCCATAACAATCAATGCCTACCTCACAGGTGGTCAGTGATGGCATAATCCTCTGTACACAGAGAAGAGGTTGACACCCCTTTTCTTCATCATTAGATGGAAATGTCAACCTGCAGCGGCCAGGCTTGTCTTCTTCCTACACCATACTGCTTTCTTCTTTGTCCAAACCATTTCTCTATCTCAAGAAGGTTTTGTTTGAGAGTAGAGGTACAAAATAGAATCCACCTTCCTAGACAGGAATCAACAGTCTATTTGTATTCTTTAGCAAAGAAGGAATGAATTGAAGGCAAGTCCTGTCTGATATCACGTCTCATGGATATGTCCAAACACAGGATGAATGTTTGTTTATACAAGGATATGTTCCCAAGCTGTTCACAGCGATGAAAAGAGGCTTTGGACACAACTGGAGGATAATGAAGTCCTTTGTGAATAGAGGAATCTTTATTGGATGAAAAGGGCCGGGCAGAAGCCCTTGTAGACTTAGGGGAAGCTTCTGGAACAAAGCAGGGAGCTGACTACATTCCCAGGACTTCCTGGTGCATTAACACTTCCACATTCCTCCATTTCACTCTAATCCCTTTATCTCACCCCAAGTCCCTGATGTGCCAGATCATAAATCAAATAACGAAAGTGCAGGCAGCCCCTATTCCCACCACAAATCAGGAAACATCATTACTAGAAACAAAGACTACTGGATTTCATTTGATTCAACAATTTGAACTTAATCTCCCCATTTTCCCAAAATATGTGAGTTTTTTCCACCTGGACTCTGATGCACACTCCTAGCTAAGAATATGAGCTCAGGGGCCAGGAGACCCAGATTGGCATATATATATAATCTGGTTCTGTTTAGGATCATCAGGATGGCCAGCCAGTCTCCTGAAGTTTTTTATCCTGCTCACTTTTTTTCTTTGTTGCAGAAATCTTGAATCCATCGACTTGTCCTATAACAAGCTTTACCATGTCCCCTCCTATCTACCTAAGTCTCTGCTGCACCTTGTACTAATTGGGAATCAGATTGAACGGATCCCTGGCTATGTTTTTGGCCATATGGAACCTGGCCTGGAGTACTTGTATCTGTCATTTAATAGACTTTCTGATGATGGTGTGGACCTAGTCTCATTCTACGGGGCATATCATTCTCTGAGAGAATTGTTTCTGGATCACAATGACTTAAAATCCATACCACCTGGAATACAAGAAATGAAAGCACTACATTTTCTGAGGCTGAACAACAATAAGATTCGGTAAATTTTGGATTTTTCTAGTATCAATTTAAGTTTTGGGTGAAAAATTAAATAAATATCCATAGTATGAACTTTTAGATTTATTTTGAAGAGAGAAACTGGTGCTAATAATTAGATCTGAAGAAAACTAGCAATGTTAATAGTTGCTAAAATGGAAAATAAGTATGTGAAGATTCATAATGATTTCCAATTTCATGTTAATTTTGCAAATTTCCATAGTATTAAGTAGAGTATTATTACACAATATGTAGAGCCTTGGAGACTGACTCATTTAAGGCTGTGAAGCAATAAATACACTATACTACAACTCTCCTGTACATAACGTGATCTGGAGAGTACAGTAATTGCTTGAATATAGAGTTTTATGAAGGTAAATTATGAACTTCCTTTACTTTGGGGAATATGTTTCTACATGTTTAATCATTATGCCTGCTGAGGTAGCATGGGTGATTAGAAGATTAATCTGGAATGGTATGGGACCAATGTCAGTGGTTCATGCTTGTAAATTCAAGCAATTGAGAGGTGAAGGCAATAAGGATCAGGAGTTAAAGGCCAGCCTTGGCTACACAGCTACATAATAATGGAAGTTCCTGTTTTAAATCAACAATTAGAAAGAACTTCCTCTCTTTACATGTTGTGACTATGCTCCATTAGAGCCCTCTTACTGCTTCATTTCTTACAGCTGTGTAGATCTAATGATCTACTCTACTGTCTTTTTCCTCACTTTGAGACTGGCATTACTCTATACCAGGCTGGCCTGGAACTGAGTTGAGTAGTGATGACTGTCTTTAAACTTACTTCAATCCCTGAGTACTGGAATTACAAATATGAGTCAACCTATCCTGCCTAACTTCATTTTAAGAAGCTGGCTTTGGGGGAGCCTAGGCAGTTTGGATGCTCACCTTACTAAACCTGGATGGAGGTGGGCAGTCCTTGGACTTCCCACAGGTCAGGGAACCCTGATTGCTCTTCGAGCTGATGAGGGAGAGGGACTTGATGGGGGGCGGGGGGAGGGAAATGGGAGGCGGTGGCGGGGAGGAGGCAGAAATCCTTAATAAATAAATATATTAAAAAGAAAGACAAAAAAAGAAAGTATGGAATATATACATATTAGAGTATTACTCAGCAGTAAAAAACAAGCACTTCTTGAATTTTGCATACAAATGGATGGAAATAGAAAACACTATCCTGAGTGAGGTAAGCCAGACCCAAAAAGAGGAACATGGGATGTACTCACTCATATTTGGTTTCTAGCCATAAATAAAGGACATTGAGCTTATAATTCATGTTCCTAGAGAAGCTAAATAAGAAGGTGAATCCAAAGAAAGACATATAGGCATCCTCCTGAATATTAACCTTCATCAGGCGATGAAATGAGACAGAGACAGAGACCCACATTGGAGCACCGGACAGAAATCTCAAGGTCCAAATCAGGAGCAGAAGGAGAGGGAGCACGAGCAAGGAACTCAGGACCGCGAGGGGTGCACCCACACACTGAGACAATGGGGATGTTCTATCGGGAACTCACCAAGGCCAGCTGGCCTGGGTCTGAAAAAGCATGGAATAAAACCGGACTAGCTGAACATAGCGGACAATGAGGACTACTGGGAACTCAAGAACAATAGCAGTGGGTTTTTGATCCTACTGCACGTACTGGCTTTGGGGGAGCCTAGGCAGTTTGGATGCTCACCTTACTAGACCTGGATAGAGGTGGGCGGTCCTTGGGCTTCCCACAGGTCAGGGAACCCTGATTGCTCTTTGGGCTGACGAGGGAGGGGGACTTGATGGGGGAGGGGGAGGGAAATGGGAGGCGGTGGCGGGGAGGAGGCAGAAATCCTTAATAAATAAATAAATTAAAAAAAAAAGAACCAAAACATTTTAAAAACTTAACTTCTAAATCCTAAAGTTAGATTACTTGGACTATTTATAATTTACATATTTATTTTTCTTTAGGAATATTCTTCCTGAACAAATTTGCAATGTTGAAGAAGACGAAGACTCTGCTCTAGAACATCTTCATCTTGAAAACAATTACATTAAAACTAGAGAAATATCCCCTTATGCATTTTCATGCATAAGACTGTATTCAAGTATTGTTCTTAAACCACAAAAGATCAAGTAATTTCAAGTTTTCATTTGCCATTTATAAATTTTACTCATGCATTAAAATTACATCTTTGTGTGTGTGTGTGTGTGTGTGTGTGTGTGTGTGTGTGTGTAGGGGGTGCACATGAGTGCAATGCCTTCAGAAGCTAGAACAGAAGAGGGTTTTATTTTGTTGTTGTTGTTTTTTTTTGTTTTTCGAGACAGGGTTTCACTGTGGCTTTGGAGCCTGTCCTGGAACTAGCTCTTGTAGACCAGGCTGGTCTCGAACTCACAGAGATCTGCCTGCCTCTGCCTCCCGAGTGCTGGGATTAAAGGCGTGCACCACCATCGCCCGGCCAGAAGAGGGTTTTAGATACTGTGGAGCTCAAGTCACAGGTGGTTCTGAGCCAACTGATGTGCGGCTGTGAACTGAACTTGGGTCCACTGTAAGATCAGTACCTGTTCTTAACTTCTTGAACCATCTCTCTAGTCCCCCAAACACTATTATAATGATAACGTCTTGGTTTAAATAATTTTACAGTGGTTATATGCACATTGGTAAGGAAAGCTAGCAGAAGGGCATACAAAAATCACTATATGTTTGGAATTACTTTTTTAAGTAAAGAAAAAAAGCCATTTTAAGACTGTTTCCATGTCTTCTTCAGCAAGAACAAAAGATTACAGAAAGAAGGCTGGACATGGTAGCACACCTTTAATCCTAGCACTTGGGAGGGAGAGGTAGGAGGATCTCCATGAGTTTGAAGCCAGCCTGTTTAATATAGTGAGTTCCAGGACACCCAGGGCTATGTAGAAAGACCCCGTCTTAAAAAAAAAAAAAGAAAAAAAAAAGAAAAAAAGAGAAACTATGAAAAAATAGTAGTTTGCTAAAAAAAACCCCAAATTATTGTTAACTATAAGCTAATAAGTTAAATGTAAAAATAATTCATTTCTGAAAATATTCCTCCACTAGTTAGCAATCTTCTCTTTTGCCCTACTTGCTAAAATGTTCTTAGTTTAATGAATAAAGTATATTTATTACACACTGACTTGTAATGATTTCTTTTTATTAATGTAAATTTTATTTGTTTATTGAGATAGTGTCTTACTGTGTAGCTCTGGCTGGCCTGGAACTTGCCAAGTAGTAGGCTTAAAGGCATGTATAACCATGAGGACCTTTGATCTCTCTATTGATAAAAAATTTTATATGATACATATAGAAACTATGTTGATTTCTTTCATTAACTAAATTTTGTGGTCTGCAGAAACACTAGTCTCTTGATTTAAGTTCTTGCTTTGGCCTCTTCTTTAGTTTCTTTTCCTGTTACTATGACTCTTAGTTAGAGTTTCTATTGCTGTGAAGAGACACCATGAGTATGGCAACTCTTGGAAAGGAAAACATTTAATTGAGGTGGCAGATTAACAGTTTCAGAGGTTTAGTCCATTATCATCATGGCAGGGAGCATGGTGGGACACAGGCAGACATGGTGCTAGCCACATCTTTATATATGGGCAACAGGAAGTGAACTGAGTGTACTGAGGGAAGCATGAGCAAAAGAGACCTGAAAGCCCATTCCATTAGTGATACACTTCCTCCAACAAGGCCACACCTACTAGTAGGACCACTTCATTTGGGGGCCATTTTCCTTCATACTACTACACTGTGATAAAATACCTTGACAAAAGCTAACTCAAGAAAGAAATGGCTTATTTTGTTATACAGTTTAAGGACACAGCCCATCATGGAAGTGAAATCAAAGAAGCATGAAACTGAAACAGCTGCATCTAAAATCAAGAACTAGAAGCAATGAATGCTTGTTTTCAGGTCAAAGGAAACTCTGAGTAAGATGAGTCAATGGTATTAATATTTGAATACAACAACACTGAAGGGTTATTAAACAATTTATTTCTTATTCTCAAAGTTTTTATTTTCAAACAGGGTCTCATTCTATAGCTCAGGCTGCCTTTGAACTCATCATGATCCTTCTGTTTTTGCTTCCCAAGTGCTTGGATTACAGGTATGCATTACCTGTCAAGTTTATTGTGACTTTCTTTGGCTGCATTATGAAGTCACTTTAGAGAGTCAATGATAAACATAACTGAGAAGTTCTTTTCTGGTAAAAGTATAAGTAGAAAATCAAGTATACAGGTAACAGCTGTCAATCAATCAAACAGGTGGTGAAGAAAGGAGCATACAGCCTAGGCGACCTCTGCCACGGTTTGAGAACTCTCAGGGAATATGTGGTCATAGTCAACAGTCTGCAAGGAAAGGATGGTGTGCAGCAGCACACACTTTCCCCAACTCTGTCAAGGTAGCAGAATCTCTCATAAAGCTAAAAATCAGAATGACAGTTGGATCTTTGCCCTGAATTTCGAAGATTTATTTATTACAACTGTTTTTAAAATAGTTTTATGAATATTTCTAGCATGGAACCTGTTCAGTATTGAAATTTCATCATGTTCTGAATAGGATGTTTTAATTTCATAAAAATTGTGATGAATTTCCTTACAGCAAACATTTTTCTTGATATAATGTTATAACAAACAGATGTTCAGTTTTGGCCTCATAAATCTGCTGTAGTCATTAACACATCTGTGCACTAAGGAAGTCTTAAACTAGCTATAGTTGGGAAAACATTAATGTAGTGTCTTGACTTTGCACATATGTACAAGGAATGCTATCTGTATTTTTAATTTTGAGACTTGTCTTATTGTACATGACTGTTTTTAAAAATACTAAAATATGGTCTAGTGGAAAACATATATAGCCTGGTGTTATGAAGAAATAAATATGCCAGAAGCCAGAGAAGGACCTAAAATATTATATTTCGAATAGACCAGTGGATCACATCACACAAGGCTTATGAGAGATCTAGGTTACTGATAAGGAAGTGAACATACCACTCCTCTAAATGAAGCAACTTTGTTTTTATCAGAGAAGTTGGAAGTGGGAATTTGTCAGAGGATAGGGTGAACCTGGCTTGTAGTACAAGAAAGAGATGGGAGGACAGTAAAGTGAGGAAGTCATAGGATTGGTAGATAAATATAAAGGCCAGGACACATGCTTTGAGAGTCAGCTCACCTTCATCTCAAGGAACAGGAGAAGAAGTCAAGTTCACCATAGCTTCTACAACTTGAGCCTCTGTCTTTTCAAAGCTAGTTCCAGGCACAGCAAGAACTGTACCTAAAGTTTGACCCTTCTGGAAGTTTCCTCCAGTACTTCTTGCTCTGTTGACATTAACATTCAGGTCAGACCTGGCTTTATCAGTTATGTCTAACTGACTACCAGCCATTTCTAGTGAGACATTTCTAAATGTCTTTGTGTATAGGGGGTATTGCATGACAGCTAGGTGGAGAGCTATATTGGCTTTTCAAAAAGGTCTGCAAAACTTAAAAAATAAAGAATTCATGTCTTCAACTCTTGCATGCTGTGTATAGTGGCAATAAAACTGGGCATTGAATAATAAATAAATAATAAAAAAATTTGTCTTCTCGGTCCTCAGTGCAAAAATGGATCAATTTATGGGTTATCCAAAATTGATATAAACATTAACCCCCTTGAAAAACAACAAAGAAACAAACAAAAAAGAAAAGAATCTTTAAAAAATTAAGCATTTTCAAAAGAAAAATGAGAAACTAAATGGAAAAAAATTTCACACAGTCATAAAGTAAATCAGATAAAATTTTTCTAACCTAGACATTAGAAAAACAAAGCATATTTTTAACTCTGTGTGGATGTGTATGAGAATATGCACATGTGTGCAGGTGCCCACAGAAGCCAGAGGCATGAATTCTTCTAGAGCTGGAGCTACAGGCTGTTGTGAGCTGCCTCATGTGGGGGTACTGGGAACTTAACTTGTGTCCTCTGAACAGTATGCAACTTAATCATTGAGTTAGTTTTCCAGTCCAGAGTATATTCTTTTTTTTTTATTTATTTACTTAACTTTATTATGTTTGTTGGTGTGAAGGTGTCAGATCTCATGGAACTGCATTTTCAGACAGTTGTGAGCTGACATGTGGGTGCTGGGAATCGAACCCGGGTCCTCTGGAAGAGCAGTCAGTGCTCTTAACCGCTGGGCCATCTCTCCAGCCCCCAGAGTATATTCTTTAAACAATTAAATCATCCTTTGACAAGTGGAAATACTTAGTAATCAATATTGTTGTTCTGCATCACAGTCCTTCCAAAACCATCATTTAAACATACCAGGAATTACTATGTTCCAAAGATGATATAATGAAATACTCAAATTCTGCTGTTTAAGGGAAACCTCAAAGGATGGTATAAATAAAACCCTATATGATATCAGTTCTATCCTTTCCTCTTATTTAGGAGAAGAGTAAAAGTTTCCTCAGAGAAGAATTTATAAACTGAGATCACTGAACTAATTCTTTGTTCATAGTTGCATATCAGTTCAGATTACCGATTGGCCTGAATTTTAAAGAATGTATTAAAAGAACTCACTAAAAGAAATTTCTGGTCAGCTCTAACCTAATGCCAAACAGTCATTAGATACCCCTAAGCTCTAGATTCTGTGAAACATTTAGATTTATCTCCAGTACTTAAAAAACAAAGAACAACAACAAAAAAAGAAACAAAAAGAACCATGATAACTCAGAACTGAAATCAGTATTAGCCATAGACCTGGTCTAAAACTTAGATCAGTCTTCCACAAAACTGGGGAAATAACTGTGTAGCACAGTGGGTGAGTGATTAAATGATATGATGTCATAAGAAAGTGCTGAGTCTAGGGTTGATTTTTGAAAGTATCAATCTTCTTCCAGAGACTTCAGCAACAGGCAGGTACACAGGTTGCCAGGTCTTTTGTGTAATGGATATTACTATCTAAAGTAGCATTTCATTAATTTAGGATAAACAGTGGAGAAAAAGAACAGGCCAAAAACACTAGGGCTGTGTTCAGCACAGTGCTCTGTACTGGGCCAGAGGGTAAATACATCAGGCTTCTTCAGGGTAAATACATCTGGCTGGGAAGGTTTGTATAGGGAACCAAGCTATGCCAGCAGTTCAGGAAACCATCTGAAGAACAGGTGGGGGATCAGCAACAAAACTCAAGTGTGACTATCTGCCATAGCATGCACGTTCAGATTCATGACACAAAACAGAGTGAACTATGGTACAGAACATTCCTGAGTCAGTCTCCAGGCTAAGATAGCATATTAGGTGTAAAAGTTGAAATTCAAAGTCTAAAGTACTTCTCAATCTAGATTGGAAAAAAAAACCTCAAAAAACAAAAAAACAAAGTCAATCAGATGGCTCAGAGTCTAAAAGTATGTGTTGCTCTT